CTATCTATCTATCTATCTATCTATCTATCTATCTATCTATCTATCTACCTACACTCACGTGTGTGGGCAGGTAGATGTCGTAGACGGCCCCCGAGTCCACGTCCACCGCGTGAAACCCTGAGAAGGAGCCGTAGATGACCTTTAACCTCTGGCCCTCCTCCACGGTCAGGTCCACCAGCAGGGGTTTATGCACCAGGTCCCCGAAAGACTGGGGTGGGGGGGGGGCAAAACCCAGAAAATGAGATTAGATTAGAGCCCCTGTCCCCTAGGGGTGGGACGGTTCACAAAATCCACGGTTCGGTTCGGTTCACGGTTTTCGGTTCGGTTCGGTATATGTTGATTGTTTGGAAAATCTATTATGTCTTGTATAGTCAGGTTAAAACTGAAAGAAAAAAGCAGTCTGACATTTGATACATTATTGTGACAGTCTGAGGTTAAAAGTAGGTGAGATTCTGGCATTGCAAGAGAGGAAACAGTGCTAATTCCAACATGTGCTTCCCTCTAAATGCAAACTGGTCCATACAGCAGACCTATAAACTGCTGTTGGCTCGTCTTATTTTTATTATCGGCTACGCTGCTTTGCTTCTTCTTCTTCTTGTTTCCTACTGGTGGTTGGCTTTGGGCGCAGTAGCGCCCCCTTCTGGTCTGGAGTGTAAACGCTTCCCTCTGAGAAAAAGGAGCAGCAGGAACCGAACGCAACACACGCGAACCGAACCGAGACAGAACCCAACGGTTCAGACGGTTTTCAGAAACCGTCCCATCCCTAATGTACCCCTCCCCCCCCTCCACCAGAGGGGTCAGAGGTTACCTTGAAGGCCATGAACTTGTGGTAGGGTTTGGGGGCCCAGGCGTAGACCTCCACCGAGTTCTTCAGAGCCAGAACCAGAAACTTGATCCTCTCGTATTTCACTGAGCAAAAGAAAAGAAGGTTAGGATGCTAGAAACTGTCTTTAGCTGCTTTAGTCTGGCTGGTTTAGTCTGACAGCCTCTCTTAGCCTCTGTTCTCCGTTTCTAAAGCCTGAGATTATTTCTGATCTCCAGACCAGATTTTGAGTGTTTTTATTGGTCCAGGTTTTCTAATGAAGGGGACCCGGGGTTTTAAATGTTGATTTATATTCTCCTGTAACACTTTTTTTTCTCTTTTTTTTTCTTTTACACGAAACGGAGTGCTTAAAAGTTGTTTTATGTGCTATTAATTCTTCTTTTTTGTCCATTTTACATTGTCAAAGCCTCTTTAAGCCCCTTTTTCTTTTTTCTTTTAAAGGAAACGGAGTCCTTAAAAGTTGTTTTATGTGCTATTAACCCTGTAATGCCAAATGTATCACATTTGATACATACGGTTTCTGAAATGTTTAGCGTCTGACACCTTTTGCATAATTTAATGGTAATAACTTTGCTCAAAATCCTATTGTACACAATCAGATAAACCTGATAACAGGGGGCAGAACACTACACATAAAATAATCTTGACTTATCGCATAGTAATAAATTATTAATATTAAAAATGTTGTTTTTTCTTTTTACATATTTTGTTAAAAGGCCAAATAAGGAATTCAAAACCAAAAAAAAGTAATTTTCTGTTTTGTTTTATTCTTGGATCAGGCTTTAAAGGGTTAATCCTTCTTTTTTGTATATTTTACATCATCAAAGCCTCTTTAAGCCCCAGAAGATGGACTAAACCACTTCTGGAAAAATAAAGAATGGGGCCTAAATATGGGACAAACAAAAGGTAAAGTTTTTTTTATTATTTTGCTTAGTCAGTTTGCAGATCCATCCATTGCTTCTCTGAGGGTTTAACATCTCCATTCTGGACGTCTCTGTACTTTGCAGAAGTGCTGGATGTTCACAAATTCACCTCCTGGACAGGAAGCGGCTAAAGAGCGGGGTTTCCAACAGGAAGTGCCCGTCTGTACCAAGTGGCACCAAAATCACAGAGGACATTCTGCATTTTGGACAGGATTGTGCAGTTGCACGTTTCCTCGGTTATCTTTACCGGATTGTTACTTAATCGAGGGCTTCCTAGTGATCATTTATCAATAGTTTGCATGTCTCATGAACATGATGCCACTCAGAATCATAGATTGAGGTTTTTGGAGTCTCCAGTGACGATTCTGAAGACGCGGATAAAAAATACCACCAATTATTTTACCGTTGTTGTTGTTTTAACGCAAACAGTTGCGTCTCTAAGCACTAATTTAGCTTCAACTCTTCATATGAACTCTTTCGGGAGACCAAATATAAAGAATATTCTAAACTTGAGCTGTTGTTTTTCAGTTGCAGGAGAAAAGTAGCATAAAAAGTAGAAAAAAACAAACCAAATTCACATTTAAGAGCAGCCCGCTCAGTGTTTATTTGCACGACTCACAATTAGAATCCATGTTTTTATGACCGTATTTCTTACCGACTTTGTAGTGGACGCAGCCCTCCAGGTCCCCGACGGTGGTCCAGCCCTGCTTCTTCTCCACCTCCGGGTCGTTGTGCAGGATCTTGTTCCTCAGCCAGGACAGGTAGTAAACACGCAGCTTGTTCTTTTTACCTGTCATCCATGGAGAGGAAGACCATCCTTTGATTAAGCATCATGAGTTAGATAACGGGAACAAAACATGCAGGTGGTGCTGAAGGTTTGTTTTGAGAAGGTCCGGAGCCTCATTAAAAGAATGATTCAGAGAAAATAACTTTATCGAACTAATTCCCTGCTCTTAAATCTAAATGTTTGTGTACCTGGAGTGTGTAAATTTAGCTCACAATGCAAAGAAAAACATTCAAATGCAAAGTGAAGGATAATTAAATCAGCTTTACTAGCAATCTGATTTCAGTTATCAAAAACAGAAAACAAACACTTAAGCTACTTAACATGTTATTTGGTGAAAACAGAATTATAGATATCCACCACTCGTTCCATTTAAAGTAATAAATCCACTTTTCTATGTTAGCATTAAATTAATAAAAGATATCCTCAATTGCAGTTTTGCCTATGGGAACTTCTTTTATTCTGTATATATACACTTGTGTATTAAGACTTAAACATTTGTGTTAAAAAGGCAGCTGCACATATCTGACATTTATATTTAAAAATGTGGTTTTGGTGTATTTTTTTCTATTTTGTATCTGAGAAGTGTTCACTGAATAATAATAATTTTTAAAAAATAAAAATAAAATAAAAAGTTTTAAAAAATAAATTAAAAAGTAAAAAATTAATAAAAAATTTAAAAATTAAATAAAAAATTAAAAAGTAAAAAATTA